GGGGGGGGGGGGGGGAGGGAGGTTAAAACAAGCTTTCGACTGTTTCGGTCAATAACTTAAAAAAATAAAATTAGATTTTAAAAAAATTGACCGTTTCAACAAATCACAGAACAAAAGGTACTTGAGATTATATTTATTTAGATCTTTGGGGTCTTTCACATACCCCATCAAAAGATAGTGTCAGGTATATATTAATTTTCATAGATGATTATTCAAGGAAGGTTTGGGTTTATTTTCTGAAAAATAAAAGTGATTTTTTCTTAACTTTCAAAGAATGAAAAGTTTTGATTGAGAAGCAAACAGAAAAACAGGTTAAGCGGCTTAAAACAAATAATGACTTGGAATTTTGTAATGATGAATTTAAAGAATTTTGCAAGAATGAAGGAATTGCTCGACATCGTACTGTGAGAATGACACCTCAACAAAATGATGTGGCAGAAAGGATGAATATAACTCTTTAGGAAAGGGCTCGCTGCATGATTTCATATGCTGGGTTGACAAACACCTTTTGGGCAGAAGCTATCTCTATAGCTTGTTATATTGTCAATCGTGCTCCTTCTACACCCTTGAACTTTAAGACTCCAGAGGAAATGTGGTCAGGTACTCCTGCTAATTATTCTGATTTAAAGATATTTGGTTTCCCTGCATACATGCAGGTAAATGATAGAAAATTAGAGCCAGGGGCTAAAAAGTGCATTTTCCTTGGGAATGCATCTGGATTGAAAGGACACCGACTATGGTATCCTGATCCCATGACACCAAAAATTATAATTTGCAGAGATGTAACCTATGATAAATCCTCTATGTTATATTCTAGAAAGAGTTTTCTAGTTCTTGTAATACAGATAAAGGAAAGAGTACACAGAAGTAGGTGGAGGTTAAGATTGGCATTCCTTCTGAGCCAAGCTCATCAACTTTGGAGAAAAATATAGTTGAAACTCCTGAAGTTGAGCTAGAAGCTGAAATTCCTAAAGTTGAGTCTCCTGAAGTTGAACCGGAAGAAGAGGAGTATTCTATAGCCAATCATAAACCAAGAAGAAAAAGTAAACAACTATAAAGGTTTGGAGATTATATTGCATTTGCCTTTTCAGTTGCACAGGAAACTGAAGAAATTGAAGAACCATCAAAATATTCAGAAGCAGTTTCTGATGCTGACTCAGCCAAGTGGCCGATTGCAATGAATGAAACAATTGAGTCTCTCCACAAGAATGGTACTTGGTATCTTGTGAAGCCACCATTGGGAAAGATTTATTGGTTGCAAATGGGTATTCAAAAAAAAGGATGGCATTCCAGGGGTTGAAGATGCGAGGTATAAGGTACGATTAATTGCAAAGGGCTATAGTTAGGTACAAGGAGTTAATTTTAATGATATTTTCTCACCTGTTGTTAAACATAGCTCGATTCGTGTCTTGCTTGCCTTAGTTGTCATATATGATTTGGAAGTAGAACAGCTTGATGTTAAGGCAACTTTCTTACATGGCGAACTTGAGGAACAAATATACATGCATCAACCCAAAGGATTTGAAATTAAAGGAAAAGAAGATCACGTTTGCTTGTTGAAGAAATCCTTGTACGGACTAAAGCAGTCTCCAAGATAATGGTATAAAAGATTTGATTCATTTATGTTGGGTCATGGTTATTCTAGTAGCACGTATGATAGTTGTGTTTACTTCCGAAAGTTAAATGCTGGTTCATTTGTGTACCTATTATTATATGTTGATGCCATGCTCATTGCTCCTAAGGATTTGACAGAAATTCACAATTTAAAAAGTCAGCTAAAAAGTGAATTTGAGATGAAAGATTTGAGAGCAGATAAGAAAATCGTTGGCATGTAGATCAAAAGAGATCGAGGAGTTAACAAGCTATTCCTGACCCAGAAGAAGTACTTGGAGAAAGTCTTGGAGAGGTTTGGAAATCAACACCCACCATGTCCGGAAATACCTGAATATGCACAGGAAGTGCAAGGTGTAGCGTGAGTATAATCAACTCAGTAAGTAACAATACTAAATAAAGAACTAAAAGTAGTGACGAGCTTCACAGCTAAAGTTCAATTTCAAAAAAATCAACATAGTAAGGTAGGCATGCTTTCAAGTTCGGCAATTAAAGCCAAAACAGTAATTCATGTCAAGTTCAACTGAAACAGAAGATAATATCTCTCAGAAATTTCAAGACAGTGATATATGACAGCTGAAGTGTAACAATAATGAAGTCAATACATCCTCTCAGAGCAACAACTACTCAGTCCTCCCATTCACTCCATCCTCACAATCACTCTTTCCTCACAGTCACTCATTCCTCTCAATAACGTACCACTTACACTCATTAAGTACCTGCACTCACTGGGGGTGTGTACAGACTCCGGAAGGGCTCCTTCAGCCTAAGTGCTATAAAAAGCCAATCATGGCATATATTAGTGAAACATGATGCAACGTGCAACCCGATCCCATAAATATCCTCATAATAAGGCTCTCGGCCTCACTCAGTCATCAACCTCTCCAGTCTCTCGGGCTCTCAGAAATCGGATAGCTTTATTTCTCAAGTATGCATGGATTCTATAAAATGACCCGACCGATCATTTTGCTTTCTAGATCTCTGTTCCCCTATTTGAGACTTTTTGTATGTGCTTTTACTTTATTTGACTTGTGGGGATGGTTGGTTTAGTTTTGGAATGGTTCAGGTTGAATTTAAAATACTTAGGACTCGCTTGGTATGAGGGATAAGGAATAATTAATCTCGGGACTAAATTTAAAAAGAGTTTATCCTATATTTGATTGGTAGAAAATTACGGTATAATTAATCTCGGGATTAGTTATCCCGACCGGGATTGTAATATTTTTTTTATCCTCATGAAAATATGAAATAACTAATTCCGGCTTAACTAATCTCGGGATAATTAATCTTGGGATAACTTCTTTCTAACCAAACGACCCCTTAGTTCCTTAATAATGGCCAAAGGTGGCCAAGTTTAACTTGAGTCAACATTTTGACTAAAAGATCTCGAAATCGGAATTTGATGGTTACAATATGTTCGTTTGATGATTTTGGACTTGGGCGTATGTTCGCATCGAATTTCGAGGTGATCTGGGAGTGTTTCGGCACTTAATATTGGAAGTTGGCGCCTTGAAAGTTTTAACGCTTCTTAAATTTTATTTGAAGTAGACTTTGATGTTATCAATGTTTGTTTGGTATTCCGACCCTGGGAATAAGTTCGTATGGTGATTTGTGACTTGTGCGTAAGTTTTGGCATCATTCCGAGTTGTCTAAGTTCGTCGCGTTCGGAGCTAGTTGAAGAAGTTTGAAGTTCATACGTTGATTAATTTTGTTTTAGGGTGCGATTTTCAGTTCCGATGTCGTTTTATGTGTTTTGAGGCTTTGAGCAGGTCCATATTTTATTTATGAACTTGTTGGTACAGTTGGACGAGGTACCGTGTGGCTCGGGTGAGTTTCGGACCACCCGGAGCTAAGTTCAAAATTTCCGAAATTTGTTGTTCTGGTTTTCTTCTTCGCGAACGCGGAGAAGACTTCACGTTCACGATGAAGGAATTGGGACGGAGGGTTTTTGTTATACACGGTCACAATAATAGGGTCGTAATCACAAAGTTGTGGGTCACTAGCCTCCGTATTCGAGTTGAAAGGCCTGGGTTTGGGGGCTCAGAAAGTGGATGCCCTACGCATTCGCAAAAGGCGGGTTGCTTTGGCGATGATTGGAGGGGACTAGTATTCATGAGAAGCTTCTCGCGATCGCGAAGAGGCTTTTCAGGGGCTTTGGCAGTTTTCCCTCCGCAATCGCGTGAGCATTTTTGCAATCACGAAGAAGGATCGTTGGGTAGTGACTTAAGTTAAAAACAATACTTAGGCTTAATTTCTCTATTTCTCTCAACTCTTGGCCTATTTTAGAGTTTCTTGGAGGGGATTTTTCACCTAGCATCTTGAGGTAAGTAATTTTTACATAATGTGAGTTTAATACACAGATTATGGGTAGATTTTAACATGTAAATTGTGAAAATTTTAGGATTATGTTGAAAAATCTAGGATTTGGTAAAAATGGGATTAGACCACGAAAATAATTATGGAATTGAGTAGAAATTATATATTTGAATTCGTAAGGTCATGAATAATATTTATTAACAAACATTTTCGGAATTCAGGTACGTGGGCCCGGGGTGACTTTTAGGAATTTTTCAAATTGAGTTAGGTAATTACTCTAATAATTGAATTGTGAACTTTTTAGCATATATTGATTAGTTTGTACGATCTTTAGCTAGTTTCGGATTGCTCGACACCGATTTGAGGCTATTAGTGTGATTTGTGGACCGAAAAGAGGACTTGGAAACGAGGTAAGTCTCTTGCCTAAACTTATAAGAGGAAATTATACCCGTAAGTGTTTTAAATTGTTATTTGCTAATAATTGTGCGTGCTACGTATGCACGTAGTGACGAGAGTCCGTACATAGCTAAAATTATGCTTATGTCCGGATAGTCTTAGGACTTTACCATGCAATACTTGTATTATTTGAACCCAACTTGTTAGTTTAATTACTTAAATTTATAATAAAAATTGGATATGGGCTTTTATGATACTAAGCTTCATTATCTTGAGTTTTGGCAGAACATTTGATTGTTGGTGGAAATTTTACCTTCTTTGAGTATTATTTCTGTGTTGTAGTCGTTGACCGTAGTTTGTAGAGTTTCTCTATTCCTATGGATCGGACTGAACGCTTTGGCAGTATATTTAGATGCATCTATGGTTCGCACTGGTCGGCCCTTGGCAGTCTACAAGATTATTATGGATGGGGCTGTATGACCTCGACATAATTCGTGTGTGATATTGCTATGATTCCGACTGTACTTGGTATTTCCTTTATGACCTGAGATTTGATAATTACATTATGACTCTTATTTGTTAAAAAATGGCATGTGATAATTGAAGATTTTAAAT